CCCCTCTTGTTGCAAATGTCAGCAAATGAGGGTTGTGTAGCAAAACCCGCCCAAAAAGAAGGGCAGGTCTTACTTCCTGCCCCTTTTGGAGGGGTGGGGGCATGGGGTGGACAGGAGGGGGGATGGCGCAAGTTTATCAACACACTCCTATGAGAGGAAAGATTGGTGTGCAGGCCTGCACACCATCTTCACGACAAGCACGAGGGGGGGGGGGATGGTGTGTGGTTAATGTTATCATGCCCCATGGGGATGGCTTGCCTGCCACCTGTCTTTCCCTTGCTCAAGTTTTGGAGGGGGCCCAGTTCCCCTCACTTTCAACAGCCCATTAAAGTGGCAAAGGGGCGCTGCCAAAGCGGTGATTCCCATTGGACACTTGGTCTACAACACCATTGTTTAAGAAAACAAATACATAGGGCATTTCTCTCCCAGCTTCAAATGCCAAGTGACAGTGTTGACAGTGGCAGTGATTGGAAGTTCCCCTCACTTTCAACAGCCCATTAAAGTGGCAAAGGGGCGCTGCCAAAGCGGTGATTCCCATTGGACACTTGGTCTACAACACCATTGTTTAAGAAAACAAATACATAGGGCATTTCTCTCCCAGCTTCAAATGCCAAGTGATAGTGTTGACAGTGGCAGTGATTGGATGAGCTGATCATAATCTCCAAAGGCTAGGTGGTTAGACGGCTGAAGAATACATACCGGCCAAGAACAATGATGGAGAAATGACACTGGCAGTGACTACAATGAAATAGATTGGCGTGCCGGACGCTGTGTACTGGATGATGTATGTACACACTGCGCTGTTCTGGATCCATATTATCACTAATGGCGCTGGAAAGCCGGATGTCCCCTGATTTTGTCACTGGATTCATGTGAGGGTGTTTGTTTTTTTTTTTGGTGGATCTTGGGAATTGATAACTGCAGCTTTTTACAACACGAGCAGCGCTTGTTGATAAAAACGTGTATTTATGTATTGATGTAACAAGATAGCTGCAGCTTGCAGTTGGCTGGAGGGGGTCATGTGGACGGAGACACTTCTAGGGATACAAGAGAGCAGTTGTGGCAGGCCGGTCATGTGAGTTGCTTGTGCTGATTCGACAGTCCGTTATTCTTGGCGTCGGTGATGGAAACAGCCGACGAACAAGCTCCTGATCGGTGAGCCCACCCAGCTGATTTTGATCCAATGGAGGAGGCCGAGCACACTTGAGAGAGTCTTGTGTTGTACATGCATCGCCTTGGCTATCCGGTATCATACATTGAAGCTCGGTTATTCAATCCTCACTGGCACTGCTGTCCATCATCCGCACGGCCCAAGAACATTCCCTCCGCTTGTTTTTAATACGCGTTGTGTTGTTTTCAGCCTCTCGTTTCCGGCTTGGTGCCTTCATGACCATCCACATCAGTTATTTATTAAATATATTTCTCAGTTGCCCCAGACACTTCCTCAATTTGCACCACCAGATTCATTCCCCCAAGACAAGCAACTTAAACTAACCGCCCTCTTACACACCATCCTAACATTGCCCACAACCACCAATTTATAATAAAACAGGATCCAAGAACACAGCGGTTATCCTCAAGGGTTGACTCGCCCATTCAACGCAACTATTATAAATTTATTGACTTGCGAAACGAGCTGGCAGAGTGACTGATTTTTACGTTTTACGTACTCGATTGCTCCCGTCGCATACATACATCCCTAATCAGTACATACAATATTTTACACCCTCTCTGCCGATTTTACACGCTTCTACATCAATTTAATAGAGATGGTTCAATCACTGTTGAGTCTCTCTCAATCGATCGTCAGGTCTGGAGTTCCGAAGCGGAAGCCGACTGTCGGCCGGCCCCAGGCCAGCCGCCGTCAGGCATCACTCATACCGGCAGTCAGGCGGGCCAGACACCACTGCCTATCAACATCTCCTCCTCTAATAGTAAACCTTTGCCGATCTTCAGGATATCCGGACAATCCGAAGGCAGCAGGACCCGGCCAGCCATCTGGATCTATCAGAGCATTCAGTCTGACATCCGCTTCCACCATCCGGCCTCCTCAGGAACGACCAGCTGCGCACTCGGCCATCCCCGAAAGTATCAGCAAGACCACCGGTTATCAGCTTGATCATCTCGGACTCTTGGTCCAGTTCGACAAGGACCGTTCTAGTAAATTGTCTGTCGCACGCAGAATATTCCCCTGCTTCAAGCGACCTTCTTCCTCCCAGCCGCCATCTTGTCCATCCCGAAATGCAAAAAAAAAGACAAAGCTCAAGCGGCTGATGGTCTTGTCACCTCACTATTACCCTTTCTCATCCCCCTTCTCTACCACTCTGAAACCCTTTGCACAGTGATCACATCTGGCTTCGCGACAACTGTCGGTGTGAGAAATGCTTCCACGCTCATACTAAACAGCGTCTGCTAGATACATATGAAGTAAGTTGCAGCGAGCCCCTATTTCATGCATAGCTTGAGGTTGCCTGCTCCAAATGTCGACGCAGACTTGTATCAAGACATGCTATGGTACTAATCAAGACAAACTCTGGATGATTTTGTGCACCAGATTCCTTTGGATATTCAACCTACTCGAGTGGACTTGGAAGGGGAAGGGTTCTCATTAACATGTGAGCCAGGACCCCGAGGTTAACCAATAGGAAATCCGACCTAAAAAAAAACTTGTCGAATAAAGAAACCTCCATTTCCAAAGAACCACAGACGGTAGAGTCGAGCGCTAACAGTACACCGTGTTGGGAAACTGCAGGGCCAGATGGACACAAGAGCTTGATCCAGCTCTCGTTCCTGTTGCAACACGCATACGACCCGCCACTAGCTCCTTCGAGCGCATCGTCGTCCACTCAAACACCCTCGTCAGAGAAGTATTTGTGGGACAAGGCGATCGCCAATCGCTTGCCGAGCGTCAGCTTTAATGATCTCTTCTCTCAAGACCAAGCCACCTGGAAGGGCGACTTGTATGTCCTAGAATGGCTTCGCAAAATCGTCAGTCTGCATTTTTTTTTGGGGGGGGGGGGGGGCTTGAATGCTTAGCTTATATATCTTCATCTGCTCTTCAAATCTTTTATCAACGCCATAGGAAAAGTACGGCTTTTGCTTGGTAGATGATGTCCCGCCGACCCCAGAAGCTACCGCAGACCTTCTCAAAAGAATGTAAGCGCCCGTTCTGGTGATGAATACAACAATCTCGAATGTGTCGAGTCCCGCTAATGAGGACCGACCATCCACATATATTAACAAGAGCGTTTATACGCGAAACGCATTATGGTACTTTATGGGATGTGAGTCAATCCCCACTTTCCGTCTCAAGCTGCTTGTTAAATCTACTCTAACTGACTGGATCGGCGTTTTTTTTTTCTTTTTTTTTGGGGGGGGGGGGGGGGGGATGGAAATGCAGTTCACCGCAGACTTGCAACACGGGGACACCGCATACACTGATTTGGCTCTCGGCGCACACACCGACACGACTTACTTTTCCGACGTAAGTCATCCTTACAACTTACAGAACCGATCGACAGAGACGATCCGAATGAAAAAAAAAGAAAGCAAGTGGAGGCTTTTAGAAAACCTAACAAGATTTGGGGTATTTTTTTGGACGATATAAAGCCGATAGGGTTGCAACTATTCCACCTGTTATCCCCGCCGAGTTCGCACGAAGGCGGCAAGTCGCTACTGGTTGACGGCTTTGCGGCGGCGGCGAAGTTGAAGCTTGAGTGTCGAGAAGCCTACGAATTGCTGTCGGAGGAGCCGATCGAGACGCACGCCTCGGGCGGGGTCGACGTGGCCTTCCGGCCCCTCCTGCCCCAGCCGGTCTTCTCCCACCATCCGCATACCGGCGAACTCACGATCATCCGCTGGAACCCCGACGATCGGTTGCCCCTCAACCCGCGCTCTGCTGGCCGCGTCAAACAGCTCTACCTCGCTTTCAGAGAGTGGCAGAAAATCATCAAGAGCGAGCAGATGGAACTCTGGACTCAGATGAAAATGGGCCAAGCTTTAAGTTCAGTCACATCGATTTTCATCCACGATCTCCTCTTCACAAAAACCAAGCTTGAAATTGATTGTATTGTATTGTATTTTTTTTTTTTTCCTTGCGTGAAACTTGGGGATGTCAATTCCTTTGCATTGACGCCACCAGTTTTTGATAACCATAGGGTGTTACATGGACGCTCGAGTTTTAAAGGATCGAGAAGGCTATGCGGAGGATATGTGAATGGGGATGACTACCGATCCCGGCTACGGTCTCTCGAGCAAAGACTGTTATCCAGGTCCCCAGGATCCACCAACCATCAAGCTTAATTATTTGGCCACACAGCCGTCGTCAAGTTGATTGGTATCAATATAGGCAACCACCATACAGTTTTTGTTTTCTCATCAACCATACTTGTGTTTTTATGCACCCAGTCAATCATCATTTTGATGTTCAATTTTCATCCTCCACAAACCCAAGAGACCTGTCTCAATTGATCCAAAACCCAGAACAACACAATACTCTCTTCCCAAATTTAATGGCTCAATTGGAGGATTGGTTTGAGAGTTTGGATGAAGTTGACCAAGTATTTCTGAGAGACCGTATTGGTTTCATGCCTCACGGGTCAATCTGATTTTCCCTAGCCCCTCATACTTAAAAATGTAACTATTTTTAGATAGTTCCAAGTCATCCTTAAAAATGCCAGGAACTTGAAAATACAAAGAAAAAGAAACGTTTAGACATCCTTTTTTCCTGATTTCTATTCATTCAAAGACCATCTCTTGTTTGTTGTTTCTCTTTGTCTCTTTCCAGTTTGATATGTTTTAAGCATTCAGATTTACATTAAAGCCTGCTTGAGATAAGTTTTTCTCATATTTTTTTTCAAGATTAATTCGATTATACTCTGTCTGAATTTGTTGATATATGCTTTGGGGTTTTGAGGAAATTTATGATAAGGTTCATCAAAATCATAAGATCAGTGTCTTTTTGTCACTCTGACATCTGCTGGGTCTATTCCTTCCAAAAGCTAAACAGCTGAAAGAAATTGGTAGGATATTCCTGTCAATTACCTTTTCCAAAAGGAAATCCTACTACTGTTTTCTTTTTCTGTAAAAGTGAATTGATGCACTAGCTGCTTATAACAATATTGCTGAGAGGAACCCATCCCAATGAGCATGTTTTACTTGGGCTACATGCAGTAGTTTCTAGTTAATGCTGTTAAGCATCGGAATCAGGCTCGGGCTCAGAATTCCAAATCACCAATTGGTTTGGAATGAAAAACAAATCCCAGAGTTGAATCTTGTCACATCTGCCAATACTCTTGGGAAGAGAAATGATTGTGATATTGATGAGTTTATCCCCTCCCATGATCAATTTTACATATTCCTATTATTATCCATGAATGGATCTTGAATACTCATGTGCAGTGCCAACGCAGCAAGGTGAGTGGCAATTTGATTTAAGCAGAATGTTGATTTTGCATGGTTTCACAAACTGTAGGCTGTTTTCCATGATGACCAAGACTGAGGACAGGTATGTTCTTGTACAGTTGAAATCAACTTCAACCGCAATTTCCATCTGGTCTTCTACATGAGTTTCATGAAGGAACAACTTGCTCAGACATGGAATCAAGCCAAGACTGAAGAAAAACAGGTTTTCTTACATGATTCAAATCAACCTCGACCAAACTTACAGAATTCAAGCTGCCTGTGTTACGATTTCAAGTGGGATCAAAAGCTGACTTGCTGGGACAAACATTAAATTTAACAGGTACACAAAAGCCCAAGATCATCTGAACAAAGCTCATCCACTCCACTCAAGTACAACTTTTATTCACAAGCACAAAACATGAAGCTCCCAAGATTGTCCTCTCTGTTCCTTTCAAGTGCTTTCCTTATCTTGCTGCTCCTCAAGGTATCCAATATTTTCCCTGTAGTCATATTGAGTCACCAATCTATGGAGAGTTCAGTCATTGAATATCTCTGATTCTACTTCCTCTATTTACCACTAGATTTCAAAGGAAGCAGCTATTCCCAGCCGCAGAGTGGAATTTGTGTCTCAATATGATTGTAAAGAAAATGGTCTTGCTCCGGCTGGAATTGGCAAGGCCAGTGTCAGCTCTGAAGAGAAAGTGAGTCCATATGGACCACCTGTGAAACTAATCTTCCCAACTTCAAACTACTGATTTTTTTGTCTCTTTTGAATCACTTGATGATGGGTTGACAAGATTTGTGTAGTTTGTCAAGAAGACCTGCAGAGCGCCAAGGATAATCTGAAACAGCCAATTGGAGCTTTGGATGGGTGTGGCCACTCCTTTCACCGTGCTTGAGCAGATCAATGGCTTGTAGCCAGTGGCACCTGTCCCACATGTAGACATGAATACAAATTGGAATATAAATACATCAATGTATGTCAATTGCACTACCTTAGAGGACAGGAGAAGCTGGACATCACTTTTGTGGTCTCAATGAAAATTTTAATTCCCCTTTTTGCAGGACCCAACAGTTCACAAAGTCAACTCACACAAAAATCTGTTCTCTTTAAAGGGTTACTTTGGTCAACAGTGAGTTATGTACATGAAGTCATTCCTTTTGCTTGGCAGCTGTGTGGGGAATTTTTAACAAATTGTGAATTTTTGATTATCTCCAGCTTATTTCATTCAAGCTCACTGCACCCACATGAAATTTTGATAAATTCTGCAAGGACAACTTCTTGAAGATTGATTGAAATGTTGGAGCATTATCATTCTGTATGTAAATTGTAATTGCTCGGCAAAGCAAAGCAAGAATCAATTCAGACCAGTAACTCTCTGATTTTCATCACACTTTTGATTCCACTTTTTCCAGTACCCAACAGTTGATGGGGTCAATTCACATTCACACACAAGCCTATGGTATTTTCACTTTGGTCAACAGTGAGTCAAGCAAAAGAATCTTCTCCTTTTGATTGGATGTTGTTTGAAGAGCTTTTAACCAGTTTTGAATTCTTGATTGCACCCAGGTGGAATCACCATGGACAAAGTGCCCTAAATTTGTTTAATACTGTTGTAAAAAAGTTCCTCAGAAGATTTCAGGAGACATTGATGCATCATCAAAATGTAAGCCAATCAAGCCTGCTCAGAGAATACAAGAAGCTTACCACAACTACTCTGGTCATGATCACAATGGTAACCCCCTGTTTTCAGGACCCAACATTCCATAGAGTCCATGAAAACACTGGTGCATCTTTGTTGAATTGTTACTTTGAATAGTGAGTCATTTCAAAGAATTATCTAATTGTGATCGGATGCTGTGAGGGGAGCTATTAACAGATTTTACACTTTGTTCATAATCAGCTTATCTCATTCAAGCCCACCCAACCTGAATGCTTTAATTGGCCATCCAAGGCTAATTTTAAGCAGAATGCTTGAGAAATTAGGGTACCCTCAAGCTGTATAGACTTCTATCCTTACTGAGAGCTTAGTATGATATACAATCCCCTCAAAATTTGATTGATTTCATTAGGGGAAAAATTTGGGATATGTGGGATATCATTGTGAATCTGATGTTCCTGTTCCCCTCCAAAAAACTGGATTTTTAAAGGTTTCAGAATTTTCTTTGGATTTTCTGGATTCTTTAGGTTTTTTGCTCAAAAAATGCAATTTGGATTTTGGGAAAGCTGTAAATCTAAAAAAATCTAAAAAATCTAAAAAAACATCAAATAACATCATGTTGTTATTCTGCATAGCCCATTCTTTGCTTGATTTCCCCTATAGGACAGAGGGATAGTATATAGAAGGAAAAAGAGGATAAAGTTTTCTTATTCATGATCTTAATTAATTTAAACCAAATTTAATTTTTGATCACTCAATATTTCTCATTTCTTATAAACCTGAATAAAATTGATTGTCTTTATCTTATTAGGCCCTGTTTGGATGACACCAGTATACGTTATAAATTTTAAAGTTTAGAGCAAGATTGTCTTTTATTAATATATATTGACATATATACATCATGCAATTTAGCACTGAACCTGAAAACTTATATTGTATAACAATGGGTCCAAACGGGGCCCTAGATATTTCAGTATTTTTATGTGGGGATTTTTTTTTTAAAATCAGAATATCTACTCCTTTCATTGTGCTTGTGTCAATAACTGAATGCATTTGGTGTACCTGTATTACATCCAGGCATGAAGTGGGGATTTGGAATACAAGGATTTATGTGGATTTAAACTGCTATAAACCATCAGAGAATGATTATGTTCTTGAACATTTTCCACAAATTTCTAAGGACTCAAAATTATATGAAATAAATGCACAACATTGTGAATTAAGATTAGAACCATTTTACTCTATTTTTTCCTACTTTGATTGTGTTAAAAAATTCTTTCTCTAGTACCACATACCAGACTTCCTAATCAAGCCCCTTGATAAATAACCCATTCATAGTGGGGTTTGGGAACATGGTACTTGGCTTGTTTCTCAAACATCCTTGAAACATCAATATACCAGGTATCTGACAAGACATTCCAACAATGGTATTAGATACAGACAGAGGATGAGTAATTGGCTCCTAGTAGCCTTCCTAGCCCTAACCCACATCTCCTCTCAGTGAGGCGAGGGGACTACGGCTGTGCTGTGCCCAGTGATCTGTCCTGGAAGGCTTAGGGGGGGATGGAGCTCCATGGATACAATTAAATTCCCGGTGCCCTTCCAACAACGCTCCAAGAATGACCTGCTCAGGCATAGAAGTGAGCAGAGTCTGAGTAAAGACAAGTTCTCTTGCTGAATTCCAAATAACCTTGACCAAACTCAATTGAAATTATTGCAGCTCGTGATTCACATCTTTTGAGTAGGATTAAAAATTGACACACTGAAATGAAGATTTTTCTCTTGATCAACATAAAAGCCCAAGTTGAAAACTCTGAACAAACTGTCTCCATACCATTCTATTGTAACTTTTGTTAGAAAGCAGTAACAATGAAGCTTCTAATATTCACCTCCAAATTCCTCTTGATTGCTTTGGTTAGCTTAATATTCATAAAGGTAATCAAATGTTCCTTCATGTTGAGATCCCAGAAACAGTGTAGCATTCAGTCTCTGATTAAATTTTATTCCTTTCTCCTCATAGGTTTCACAAGAAGCAGCTTTTCCCCATGGATCAAGCAGTGGGGTGTAGAATGTCTCTGAATCTGAGGTTAAACCCATTGACACTACAAGCAATACCCGTTTTGCCCCAAAAATAAATGGCAATTTGGGTGGGGGAAAATGGATCAATTTTCTGGAATTTTTTTCCAAAATGCCTCAGGAGTAGAAATTAGGCTAAACTGAGCTATTTTAGCCCAGAGATAGAATTTCATCAAACATTCCAAAATTAATTTTTAGCTCATTTGAGAAATTTTTATTTTTTGGCTAAAATAGCTCATTTTAGCCTAATTTTTTACTCTTGAGGCATCTTGTGAAAAAGTGCCAGAAAATCGATCTATTTTCCACCATCCAAATTGCCATTTTTCCTTGGGGCAAAATCAGTATTGTTTGTAGTGTGAGGTGACTGGCGAGCCCAGTTTCAGTTCTTCAGAGACAGGAAGTCCATCTTCAACCCCTGTGCAGTTAATCTTCTTAAATTCAGACTGATACTTTCTTTCTTTTTGATTGCCTTCAAATTGGGTACCTGGATGATGGGTTGAAAAGACTTGTTTGGAATGGCTTGAAACCAAAGGTACATGTCCCCTTTGCAGAAGTGAATATGGTTATGGAGCATTTAAATTCAAGGAGGTATGTGAAGTTCAACTGGTGAAGAAAATCAGAGTTTTCATTAAAGCTGACCACTAATTCTCTTTTGTTGCTTGAAATTTTAACACAACTTTTTCCAAGGACACAAAAATTTATCAAGTCAATTTACAAGAAAGTCCATCAATTGTGCCACCCAGTCCTGATTGAGTAACATGAAACCTATCCTGTTTGGTGAGTACTGTGCTGAGAATTAATGATTCTATTACCGGCCACCTCAAGGGATATCAGCATGTTACAACAAATAAAGAATAGTTTTATGGGAAATTCAATATCAATATTCCTGTCTCAAATGAAATCTTCTATTTCAATATCTATTTGGTGGAATGATGGACTAGACAATTGGTTCCAGAGTTTGGACAAAGTTGACAGACAGCTTTTGAGCCTCAGTGGCAATACAATGCCTCACTGATCAATCTGGTTTTCCCTTTCCCCTCATAGCTAAGAATGCAAGTATTCTCCAACATATATCTCAAAGTCATCATAAACAAATCCCAGGAATTTGATAATAAAAATAAAAAGAAAAGGTGAGGCATCTTTTTTTCTGATTTCCATTATTTCAAAGACCATATCTTCTTTTTTGTTTCTCTTTGTATCTTTCTAGTTTGATATTATTCAGCATTCAGATTTACAAAGCCTGCTTGAGATAATTTTTTCTCACATTATTTTTTCAAGATTAATTAAATTATACTCTGTCTGAATTGGTTGATATATGCTTTGGGTTTTGGGGAAAATTTACGAGAAGATTTGGTATAATCATAAAATCAGTGTCTTTTCTTTACTCTGACATCTGAGTTGACTCCTTGCAAGAAGCTATACAGCTAAAAGAAATTGGTAGGAAATTCTTTTCAATTAACTTATATCAAAGGAAACCCTGCTAATGTTTTAATTTTCTGTGGAAGTAAATTGATGCACTAGCTGCTTACAACCAGATTGCTGAGAGGAATTCATCCCAATGAGCCTGTTTGACTTGGGATAAAGTTTGGCGAGGGCAGACCTCCAGATACCCATGATGAGAATCAAATCAATTTATGCTTTATAGATTTACTTTCACAAAGAGATTTTGATTTTATATTAGATTGTATTTTCTTAATCTGACCTGTGACAAAATGCATGATAATATGAAGAATGGAAAAGGGAAAAGGGAAGATCAAAATGATGAAGCCAAAATGTGGGTCCTCTTAGCCACTTGTTTGGTGCTTTCTCAATTGATTGAAATAATCACAAACTCTGGCCATATCTATTCTCTCCCGAGCCGGTGTTTTCTATCAAATCCCATTTAGTTACACAAACTCAACTGCGAAATGTGTGCAAGTCGCTCCTGGATCAAAGGGAGCTGAGCAGACAAATCCATCAATTCGGGTGTTGTTTCCTTCACATTCCAGAACTGGTTCTCCTTGGAGAAGCGGGCATGAAAAGCACAACGGAATTGGATTCGGAAGTCTTCAATTCTTGGCCCAACAAGATCTTCATGAGCTTCTTCAGACCCATAAGCAGGCTCTTGACCTCCTTTAGGGAAAATGATTGCACAAAGCTTGTCGATTCTCTTGATTATCTCAAAGAACTCCTCCGGGATTCTCGGAAGAGCTGGGTCTACCAGCATTGCTTGACTTGTTTTTTGCACATCTGCTGAGTGGTGAAGAGAGGATGCTCTCAACTCAAAAATGGCTGGTATGAGATCGAAAGCCTTGTGATCTACATAACAAAAATTCATAATGCTTCAGCACACTATTCCAAGGGAATAAATCAAACTCAAAGAATATTTTGCTGACTTACTTTGTACCCGTATAAATTCATGTCGGTCGTGTCCAACGGTAGCGAATGAGTTATCCCGTGCTTTCAAAGCCTGTAATTTTTGAGGATTTTCGATCAAGTCGTCCAAAACCTCATTTGCTATCTGGAGTATAATGGCACCATCTACTACCGGGTCCACTTCTGCGTCCATTTCGTGGCTTTCTCGAGACATTGTAGCGTCAGAGCGGCTTGACAGCCAATCCCGAAAGACATCAAGGATCCCGCAGAGCTTAGGACTCGGTTGCAAGCTGTCGATGCTTGGGCTGTCTAAAGTGTGACCAGCTGATGCGGAATCTACACTTAGAGATCCTTGCATTCCATGTTCTACTATGGGTGCAAGTAAAGGTTGTTTGATGACCCGAACGGCCAACGGTGCCACAGAGACGATACGATACGGTATCAGGCGTTTATCTGTATCGTCTCAGAATTGGAATACCCAAAAATACCGGATTTGTGTTGTCTCACTTTCCTGAGACATATACATGTATCGTATTTGAAAAGTGAGAAATGTATTCTGTATCGTCTCAGATGACTGATCCCACCAAAACCGTATTTGATACATAAGATATTTGGCTGTATTGAAGAAAAAACAAAAAAAACGAAGACGATTTTTTTTTTTTCATTTTTAAATCCAAATCCGATACAATGTATTTTTTCACCAACCAAGGAAATACTGATACCGGTATCAGGCTCAAAATAAATACGATACGATCCGATACAAATACATGTCTCGTATCTGTGGCACCGTTGGAACGGCCGAGTGTTGTAAAATCAGGAATGGAAGGACAACCAAAAAAATGTAACAACTGAAGCGCATTGTTCCTTAAAGCAATGGAGTTCCCAGGGAGGCAGTTGGAGGACTTGAAGGTGGCTTTTGATTGATGAGTTTGACTCAAATTGCTTTTTTTAATAACTCTTTCCCTTCTACGGGTGTATGTTTACAGCACCGAGTCGCTCAGAAGACCCGGCCAGGATTTGTATCATGGAAACTGTCTATACCAGTACATATGTACTTCTCAAGTAATCTGATTTTCCTTTTAGTTTGAGCGGAAAGAAAAATCAAGAGACAAAAAAGTAATGGACATGAGGAGCTACAAATGATGGAGAGATGTGTGATCAACATTTATACTGGCAGTGAGAGATGCTCTGCGCATATTTTTCCATGGCAAACAGGTGACTATCCATTTGGGCTCACTAAAACTGGCAAAGGACACCAGGAAAAAAAATGTGGAACTCCTATAGAGGTGCTTTCACTTATCTCTTGCTTAACCTTACTGTATTCAAACTGTATCTAGTCTGTATCCCCACTGTTGCTAGGATATATCCTTGTATCATTATTTATCTTTATTTGTCATATGATTCCTCTGCAATTGAAGTAATTCCAAATATTTAATTTATAATTTTTCAAATTATAAGTAACATACTTGAAACCCTAAATAGATAAAAAGGTCAGATCTCAATATACATCTCCATCCATGTAAATTTATTACACAATGAAAAATCAAAATAATCTCAAAAATAAATGGATTGAATCCCTATCCTAATAACATATTATTTGATTCAGGTTATTTATGACATTGCTGAGTATGAATTCTAATGAGAATATAAATATGTATTCTCCTTCACAAATCAATTCATTTTTATTGAAAAATTTATTCTTATTTGACTCCTGTTTTATGAAGATTCATACTCTTTTCTCCCTTGTGCTTGCTGTTCCAATCTCAGTTATCTAAACCCCTAGGTGTATGTGTATATTTAATTTTATAGATTTTGAATTATCTTTATGAGGATGAGAGAATTCAAATTGTTATATCTGGGAGACCCTTAATGATGTTCAATTTTGACATAATGGTATTACCAATAACTTGCACTTTTCACACATAGTTATGATAATTCATGAAGGTAAATTTTATTCAAAAATAAAAACAGTCCTCATATTATTGGCTTTATTGATGAAGATATATGATTCTGTCATAATTTTTATCTTAATTTTATTATGGATTACTTCTCCCTTCCAAACAACATCACAATAAGCCAGGTTTTTTCTCAATCTAAATTATCATTCACAGGCAAATGAAAAATACCATAAGACATGAGTGCTTGATCCCTTCTCAAGGCTCATCTTGTATACTTCTAGAATTTGAAAACAACAAAGCTGTGTTGTGTTGGTCCAGCATATTTGATAATACTCAAAAATCTAAACCACTCAAATCAGTAACAATTTTATTCTAATTAAAACAAAGAAGAAAAAAAAAATTCATCTACCATCCCCAGCAATAGGTAAGTATACTGAACTCAATAGCCCAATTTAATGAAATTAGATTTTGTTCCATTTCCTCTGTAAAATTGTTTGTTTTCATACTTGGTTTTTTCCAAGCCTTTTTCTGAAACCAGAATTTTGAGGCTCATTATGTTTCTTCTTCCAATTAATAATGTAGATTATTCTCAGGAGTAGGCTGAGGCATGGAGTGTGTCATCAGCATTCCAGAAAGAAAATATATGTTTTAATTCAAATATGTCAAGGGTTTCCTATCATACATATTTCTCATTTCCTGCTCATCACCACTGGGTAACGAAGTATGACTGTAAATATAAATTTTCCAACTTTGAAAGCCTCAGGATTTTTGCCTAAAATCCCTGGCCACTTTAATTGATTCTTTGGAAATTTTTACATTTTGAGGAGAAATATTTCTAGGAATTGAAAAAACAATTGTGCTATGATCTCAGAAAAACTCATGAGTTTAACTCTCTTCCAGTTGCAAAAAGTGGGCAAGGACTTTTGATTTTCATACTGTGATTTAAGTAATCATTTGTCCAATTCATTATTTTTGAACAATTTCTGAGTTCAAGTTTGCTTGACAGTATTTCACAGGCATTCGAGTAATTATTTTATTGGGATCTGATACACCATCTCATGATTAGCTCCTTGGTTTGTTTTGTTTTTCAAAAACCAGTGATTATGTGAATTTAATTCAGAATGATTGGTATTGATAGCTATCACTGGTTAATTGGGATGCACAAGGGGGAAATAAATCAATATCAATTATAAAACTTTGATATGATCCAAACCCTGATTCCTGTAATAGGTGTTTCCTATCCTTTGGTCAATACAAGATAAAGCTTAGAATAAATCTCTCTTAAGAGTAAAACCTTTTCATTAAGGTTTTCTTTGTTTTTGTTTTTTCAAAAGCTCAAAATTTATCAGGGATGAGAATTTTAGTCATGAAACAGAGTTCAAAATTCCATTTTCTTGCTATACTTACTAATGCAACTGTACAAAATCTCTATTCGCGAGATCTGGAAGAGGAAACAGGAACTAATACTGATCTTCCATATTCAAACATCAGATCAATACGGGTTAGGTATTTTTTGGCTTAGCAAGAGGATCTGGTCTGATTAACTGCATGAAGCAATAAATCTTTATTTCTCCAAGCAGCAGATAAGGAGAATATTTCTTTCCCTCCTTTGCTTTTCCAAATACAAATGCGTTGGTCTGGAGGAGATCGGAGGCATGTTTTCAAAATTAAGACCGCCGGTCTTATTTCTGAATTACCGGAACCATTTAATTTGTAATCGCCGGTATTCAAGCAATTAAGCCCGCCGGTCTTAATCTGTTTGGTCGGAAATGAACCATCTGCTCTCGTTGCTTGATCGCAACTGCCTTGTCAGTGCAAAAGCGATGGGATGAGGGGAATCTTTCCTTTTTTTCTGATTTAATAGACATCGAGGATCTGGTTTGAGGCAAGATAAATTGGAAATATTGGCCTTCATCTCCTGCTAGGACCAATCCATCTAATTTGTTGGGGGTGGGAGAGGGATTCTTTTTTTTCTTCCTTGACCGTTATAAAATTCAATTTTTTTTGTCAGAAGATATTCCAGGACCAGTGAAACTCATCACTCATGAATTTACAAACCACAAGACATACACATCTTTTTTCACCAAGCAAAGTTGAAGTTTCTGCCCTTCAGCTTCTTAGCCCTTTGAAGATGCTCTCAGAAATTTTTGCTTTCTTTCTACACTACTTTGAATTATTCTATGTGTTAATTAAAATCTGAAAAACTAGTGTTAGAGTCTTTTATCCCATATTAAGAATTCCAGACATTATGGTTAATTTCAAAGCCTGACTGGGTCTACATAGATTTTGATTGATGTTGTATCAGTTTGTGTTGAAATTTCACACTCATAAATAAGTTGGTGCACAGCAATTCGCAATCAAATGAGGCAATTAATCTTGACTCAGCTCAAAAAGTTCCAAGCACCATTTGGAAACAGGCTTTTGCTGTTTTGATTAGGAGAAGTGATGTGATTTTTTGACCAAGAAAGAAAACCAATTTCATGTTTCAGATGATTAATATTTTGATAGAAATTGAGTGTTTGAATGGATTGTTTTTGAACAGATGATGGTGCCTTTTTGTTTTCAAAAGGGGATCCAAAAAATATTTCAAATAATCCATAACTATCTATCACAGATATTTCTAAATGATGTGACATTTCTATCTTTTGAGTTAAAGTTTGAGTGAAGAAAGATCACTGATTGTGAATCTTCTGGGGGTATGGCTTGTAGTTGTTTTTGAGATAAATTAGCATACAAATGTCTGGATTTTCAATCTTACACAATTGTACGAGATCTAATTGTTTTCATCAAGTCATGATTCTGGACTGGTAATTTCAAGTCTTTGAGTTAGGGTTATTAGGAAAGGGAAAGATTTAGTATGTGAAATTTCATAAAAAAGGCTACTGTAATCACTCAATATTTTCAGGTTTTTCTGAAAATCTTACCTTGAAATTTGCTTCCAAATTGAACACATCATTATTTAGCCTCAGAAATCTTCAAAAAAAAATCTGATGGATTCCAGAGCTTAAGACTACCCAGCTGAGATACAGAAGTAGATATGATGTATGCTTGTATAGGATACAGCACATATACAACTGGGATACAGTTGGGATATACAAAAACCACCTCTATATTGGTTCCAATTTTTTTTTCCTGGTGGGAGAAAGTGTTTGCGTGGCTCTGTGAAACCAATGTGCCTCCTTAGTCTTTTATAATCTGGTCTGGTAGACACATTTTTCAGAAGGAATCCCCTGGCCATCTTGACCATTCATCTCCAGGTGCATAACTGTTCTATCAAATCCAGTCTGACAGAGGAAGATGAGACAAGATGTCCATACCAATAGTATACTACATATCGGAGGAAATACATCAGGGAATCAAGTTAATTAACTGGTATTAATGGTGCTCTCTGAAGTAATTACTGAGGGAAGAAACCACAGCTTGGCCATAGGGGGTACTAAGCAATTTTGACAAGAGAACTTGGTTGCACAAGGCGGCAGCTTCTCAATCTCCCCAGACGAACAGATTGTATAAGCTGTTGATCCTTTCGGAAGTCCGCCCGGCCAAACATGCACACCCTGAACTTCAACAAGTCCTTCTCAAGGCAGAGGTGCGAAGTGCGTTCGCCTTTGAGGAGCCGGCCTCCGCCTTTTAATTTAACCCAAGTCCCTCGATTGGAGGGCCCGGTATAGCCAGGCCGTCGCAAAGCGAGCCTCAGAGGCTCGCTTCGCGAGGTGCCCCCGGCCCTCTGTCGAAGGGATTTGTTAAGCTAGCTCCGCCTTCAGGGGACTGAGTTCAGTTCGTGCACATCTGCTCGTCGGGGAGGACAACCTTCAAGGCAATCCAGTTATTCAAAATGGTTCGGGCGGAAGGCAGTCCTCCCCGACGAACGGGTATTAGAGACCACTTCGCCCAGGAGAACAACCTGCCGGACGAACAATTGTTTAGCCTGTTTGTCCCATCTACACAGCGCATGCTATAACAGGTTTTGAATACCCTAGGGGTGTTGACTTGAAGTATATCCTGTCTCATTTTTATCGAGCGCATATTCAGTCGGAACCATATTCCGGGCGTGTATCAGCAACTATGTAGCTTAGTGTTTCGAAGGCGGATGGAATTGCTTGGGATTCTGCAATAAGTGACTCGGTCTCAGGCTCAAACAGACATCATTTAAAACATAGCCATGCAGATGAGGCCTAGGCAGTGCTAACTTCGTATGCCAGACCTTCTTCAACAAGAGCACCTGCCGATCTATTTCTCGCTCCAACCATTCATCAATTGAAGCTTCACCATCAATAATGCATTTTGTGAAATCTCTTTTAATCTCAATCCTTTTCTTCACATATAATAGTTTCAGCAGTTTGTTCGAGGAACCCAACCTTGAGGAAACCTGTCAGTTTCTACATCTGACTCACTCTCATTCTAGTAAAAAAGAGGACCGCATCGCTTAACACATCTGGATTAAATTCAGTCGATCGCATTTACAATGTTTTCAAAATCACGCCAAAGTCCCCTCGGAAATGTGCCACCAGTGGCAGAACGACACGCCGTCCAGTATCAAAGAAAAACCCTCCAAAACAGATAATTAAGACACAGGATACCTACGTTTCGGAATTAATAAAAGAGCTGAGCAGCCCTCATGGTAAGCTTGTCTTCTTGAAATGCTGTTGAGATATTAGGCCTTGATTAAGTTAACATTTGAGAATCCTAGGAACTGGACCAAGCTTCCAAATCCTTTTAGGTTAGGCTGTTTCCCAAAGATCAACTGATGAAGGTGTGAATGATACTCATGAATGGTGCTGTCGACCTCTCACACACCATTTTGTGAAAAGTCTCTAGCCTTATCGAATTTTACCTCTGTGGAAAAATCGACCTCACAGAAACTTGGGAACGCTACATGACCACTAGTGCGGGTATGCAATTGAGCTAAATTGAAAAGTCTTCTTAATCATGGTCACTGTCAGATTCTGACCACAACAAAAAATAGACTTCAAAACAATGACCGTCTCAAATTCTAAGAGAACAGTTTCCAGCGAGGAATCCCTCTCACCACCCGGAAAAAAATCACTCTCACCTTCCGGCCCAACATCGCACTTGGCCTCTGGCACGAATACTCATTCAGCTCCCCAAGATGATTTCCTCTTGCCTGCTGGCAAGAAATTCCTCTCAGATTCCAGCAAAAAGGCGCTTTCAGATGATGATAAGACATTGATTTCACTCCGCAAAAAATTGAAAAGATGGGGCATGCTATCCGATGGTACAATGGACGTCCAGCATAATCTTGACGGTTGGATGAATCAAAAATTGCGGGACATCGGGGAATTCAAAAACCCCACTGTGGAGGCATGGAAGCTTGCAGCCAACTTTGTGACTTTATCCATGATTTGGAAAGGGCACAGAATTGCTCATCATATGGGTGCGTTTTCAAACCCACAAAAAGTATGCAACCTAATCCATCGCGGCTGCATTGTTTACTCAACTGAGCTCTCTTCCAGTTACTCAAATGGGAATATTTCAACATTTTTCAAATTTCCCCAAGGAAACTCCTGAAACCATATTTCGCCTAGGAGGTAAGAGCGAGGAAAATTTCAAAGCAATCAACAACTTTTATCAATGGGTAAATTCAAAAGATCGCCAGCAGGACAAACCCGAAATGTTCCATAAAGTGATTAAGAGGATTCTTCCAAACCCACACAAGTTGACTATGGTTTTCTTTCCAACCATAAATGACTGCGCACAAAATTGCTCGCAAGAATACTTTGTGATATCTGAACGTACGTTTTATTTGAGATTATCAACATCAGAAACGTGTCTTGATATCTGTTTCTTTTTATTTTCTGGCCTACTAGTCGTCACACTTTGCCAAGAGACAGCACCCAAAATGATCTCGCAGAGTAGTGTGTTTTGGCAGCGTCTTGAGATCTTTGCTGCTAAAGAAAACCTTCGACCTTTGATGGATGCGTATCGGGACCTTTGCCACTATTTTGAAAACGGGGCCCCGTTGAATAAATTGTTTGAATACTATCAACTGATTTCACGCATCACTTTAGAATTCAAAGAGTTCAAGGAGAATGAGACTCGAAGGATGCTCAGTGCTCACATCAAGCGTCTTTCTCAATTAGGAAAACATACCGAAGGTCAATCAAGGAAATTAGATGGGAGAATTGCAAAGGATAAAGTAGAAAATGTGCTCAGAGATAAATCTAACTTGTTTCTGAATTACGCGGAGGAACTTTGTGAAGATACCCAGGCTGGGAATATTGGAGCCTTTCAGCCAAATCATCGAGCAACAAATTATCAGCTATATCAAATAGGTTAGTCATTGAATGTATCGGAGAAAACTCAAATTGCTATAATGAGACTGATTGTCCCTCACAGCATCACTTCTCTGTGGAATCTTTTCACCCCTTCACGAGATGAAACCCCATGAGGTGGATTACATGAGTCTGATAAATGCACAGTTCAACCTTCGAATTAATAAAACCAATTTACCAGCTATCATCAAACATAAGATGAACTCCTTTTCAACTGTCCTACAACATCAGGCAACTCTATATGCTATGGAACTATCGATGGATGAAAATGACCCAGATAAGCAAATGTGGGACATTTGGGGCAAAGGATTCATAGAGGCATTTAAAATCCGGAAGGAAAAGTTCAACCCAGACCTTAAACCGCTCCCGCTCAAGGATAACATGTTGATCTGGCATACTGTAAAAAGCTTGATTGACAGGGAATTCGGGGGTATGGACGAAGCTAACGCTGAAATCTTGTTGAAGCATCTGGATCGCGTTCACCGAGCTGTTCAGAGTCGTTATGTCTTTATTGAAATCTGTAAGTTCCGCTTTCAAACTCACCTTCCTGATTTTCTCGTCTCATTTCGAACATTCACTTTAAAAAACAATTCGTTCAACAATTTGGGCGACAGACGAGACCATAAAGAAGATCAATAATCTTGATGAAAGAGAAAAGTTCATGCAATCCTTTGGGCATCAGATGGAACTTTTAAATCCTAACAATGGGAAACCTCATAAACTGATGAAACAATGGGAGTTCAATGATTTGGAAAAAGTGTACGACTCGATGCATCGCCACTTGTGCGATGAATCTTTAGGCTTGTGGGAAAAGAAGGTTTTTATCCTCATTTCAAACCTATCAGTTGATTTACAGATGGTGTTAAATGACATTTTTCAAAAAGCTGCTGAAGAATTTATTATTCCAAAGTTATTAGTAACTAATATGGAGACTGAAGCCAAGGATTCTGTTTTAGACAAGGTCAAGTAATAAAATGATATCCCAATAGTTTATCATTAAATGATGCCATGGCAAACCAACACAGTAGGGCATAAATGTAGAAGATATATTATATATATAATGCCACACTACAATAGATTCATTTCTGTTCAAACTGAAAGTTTTGATGATATGTCTGAATAATTCTATACAGAAAAACTAGGTTCCCATGGTAACGTTTCCCAACCAGGAATCATTTTACTATCTCTAATGTCTATACCCTCTACTTCAGACCTCCTGAGTCCTATTTCATTCATTTGAAATGACTGGTTAATTCAAACACTTTTTTGTATTACCATGTGTGATCATCTGCATTATAGGTGTTGCATGATCTTTTTGAGTTTCTGAACTTAGAAGATCTAAAAATAAGGTGTATGAAATATTTGCCCTAATTCCCTACAGCATCAATTTGTTTTTATCGTTTTTATATATAATGCCTTTCCCCAAAAGCTTGGACATGTCTTGATCCAATTTTGTGTTTGCAAATGACATTGTCTTTTTATTTCTTGGTTCTATCTTGACACTGCTCAGATAATTCTGGAAGGCAAACCACCCTTGGAGTCGTAATCCACCAGTAGGTGGTCTTAGAGGAGAGTAAATACAAATCAAAGTTCAGATTTTCAAACGCAGATGCTTGTATGCCCTACCACCCTCCTCCCCAACCTATTGGTGGCTCGCCTCTGCTCCAACACAGAGGCCAACCAAAAACTGGGCTGTTACACAAGCTGAAAGGGTACTTGAAATCTTTGGGGTATCTGGGTGCAAAACCAATTTCAAATAGTTAAAGTAAAAAAAATACATCCATGAATAAAACACAGTCTGGTCCCTTTGGCCTTGTCCTGAGACAAAACACTTCTTGTCACTGAGGTCTTGGATTTCAAGCTGATTGTATACCCAGAATTTCTGATGTCACTCCTGAGGCACAGTCTGTTCCTTTGCCTTCTCCTGCCCCAGCCTCCATACCTCTTCCCGTTTCACGTCCTCTCTCTCCACCTGTCAGGCAATCCGGTCGAGCGCGCAAGGCTCCTGAGCGCTATGGAAACTGGGCAAAGTCTTCCACTGTCCCTCCCGACAATGTTGATACCCCGAAGACGTGGCGTCAACTCCAAAAATCTCCCCACAAAGCCAAGTGGCTTCAGGCTGCTGATGAGGAGTTCTCCTCTTCTTGGTATGGATACGTGGCGCTTGGTTCCCAGGCCTTCAAAGAGGAAGATCATCAAGTCTAAGTGGTTTTTCAAGGTGAAACGTCGCCCCGACAAATCCATTCTAAAATTAAAAGCCCGTCTCGTTGCAATGGGCTACTCTCAAATTCGAGGGGTTGACTCTCAGGAAGTTTTTGCTCCCACTCTTCGCCTTGAGACGCTCAGGCTTATCTGCAGCCTTCTTGCATCCAAGTCGTGGAAAGGTCGCCAAGTAGACTTCAAGACTGCCTTCCTCAATGTTCACCTTGACCAGCCCGTCTTCATGGAACAACCCCCTGGCTTCGAGGATCCCAATCATCCCAATTTTGTTTGTGAAGTTCGCGGCTCCATCTATGGTCTCAAGCAAGCTCCTCGTCAATGGAATCAAGAACTTCATCAAGCTCTTCTTGACTCTGGTCTCACACAATCTAAGTACGATCCCACTCTCTACTTTAAAGTTGTCGCTGGGAAGCTTCTTGGAGCAATAACTGTCCATGTCGATGATCTTGCCGTTGTGGGGGAGGATTCCTTTGTCACCTCTATCATATCAAGTCTGGGTGCTAAATTCAAGATTGGTGCCGATGAATACCTGCACCATTTTCTCCCAATCAAGATCACTCGGGACCATGATAAAAAAGCTTCTCTATATGTCACAAAGTCACTACATTGATGACATGGTCTCTCGTTTCCTCGACAGCATGCATACGTCTACCAGGACACCAACTTCTTCGAATTTCAAAGATCTGGTCAAACGGACCACGGATGAAGACTCGTCTCCCGGTCCATACAGCCAGCTCATTGGGTCACTCCTCTGGATAGCTCAGTGTACTCGCCCCGACATTGCTTTTGCCGTCAACAAACTCTCTCAATTTCTGCGTGACCCCTCATCTTCTCACTGGTCTGCAGCCGTCAAGATTCTCAACTACCTGGCCTCCACCAAATCTCTTCGTCTACGTCTCGGCGGTTCACTCACCTGCGCAGGCTACTCTGATGCGGATTGGGCTGAAGATCGTCAAGATCGGAGATCAACCTCAGCTTACACCTACCGATTTGGTGATGGGGCAATATCTTGGAAGTCTCGCAAGCAAGCCACTGTTTCCCTGTCCAGCACTGAAGCAGAGTACAAGGCTCTTGCAGACTCATGCAAGGAAGGTCTGTGGTTACGTAATATTCTCACGGAATTGTCCATTCGACCTAGGTCGGCTCTCCCTCTTCATGTTGACAACAAAGGTGCAGAGGCTTTTGCAAACAATCCGGAACATCACTCTAGGACTAAACATATTGACGCACGATATCACTTTGTTTGAGACTGCGTTAAAGACAACATATTCCAAATAGTCCATGTTTCCACACATGACATGCTGGCCGATATGCTCACTAAACCTCTTCCGTGTGTGCTATTGGAGAAACACCGTCTTATGTTTGGTATGGTCTAACTGTCCTTCCCTTTTTTTTTTTTTTTCTTTCCTCTCGTCTTTCATTCTCTCTTTCGATTTCTTCTCTTTGTCATTGAAATCAGTCATCAGCAAGGGGGGGTGTTGAGATGCCTGTGACATGTCATTATTCATCTCATGTTCATGTTTGTTAGTGTGCTTTATTCAGATTTCATTTCCCTCATGTCACACTCTGTGACACTTAGTTGTTTTCTTTCAGCTCTTATACTGGAGCCATATGTGTTCGGGAGGATCTTCTTTTTCCTCATCCTTTCCAACTCATATGTCTCCAGGTATGTCTCTTCTTTCCTTTTCTCATTTCTCCTTTTTCTCTTATGTTGAAATGTGATCCTTTCCAACTCATATGTCTCCAGTCTCCAAGGGTGTTCATTCCAACAGGTTATGAGCCCAGGGCCTACCTAAGCGCAACCCGCTTACAACAGAGACCAGATGAAGTTGTGAATGCTTACTTGTAAGACCAAAACTTCCCCTGTAAGACTACCTAAGGTCACGGGTTCAATTCCCACTCTGATCACGATTTGTTGGGTCTCATTCCCACTTCCACATCATGTAGCAAGGGGGGGTGTTGAGGTGTCTGATAGTCTGCTACCATGATGTATCACTACATGTCGAACCATGACCACTACCACCCAACAACCCTGGCAGTCACAAGCGTCTGTAGCCTAGTTGGTAAAGGCAGCACTCTAGTATGTGTCTCAGCTTAGCTGAGGTCGTGAGTTTGACTCTCACCAGACACATCTTCATTTTGTCTGTCTCTACAGTTTTTTTAGTTATATGTAGATATTGTACCAACCAATACTCCCCAAAAATGGGGACATGTACTGGTCGGCTTAATGTACCAAACCAGCCTGATCAGCCGGTGTAGCTCCAAAACTTTTGGTCTCCACAACACCCTGTCTGACTTTAATATACCTGTTTTGTTTTTTGGCCGGAGCGCATTTGGATTTTTTTTTCTTGGTGTGAGGAAAGAAATAACCCCCTCTCTCTCTTTCTCACTTAATAATATTGGGTGCTTTCTTCTCCGCACAAATGCTTGGTGTCAATGTGGGCACAAATCTGCCACCTTATTTTTATTTTATTTTTGTTTAGTGCCAATCACCTATGAATATTTTATGTTTCCTCCTTGATTCATGCATCCCATAATCCTTTTCCCCTCCCTAGAGATTTTTTTTTCCTTTTTTTGTTGTGTGTTGAAGCAGAGTGATGTGTGTGAGAGAGAGAGACAGAGAGAGTACTGAATTACAAAAGATTGTGTGCATCCTTGATCCTCCAGAAGATCCCGAGGAATGATCTTCCATGATCCAGCTGATGAGTTTCTGAGGGTGCAGGACGCTCTTATAGGTACAAAGAAAGGCAATACAACACACGATTTGAACATGAGATGCTCAGCTACAACAAGCTGCCCTTCAGGTCACCACCACCACCTCCTCCTCCTTCTGACCTCATAATCTTACTTTTTGCTTAACAATTTTATGCACAAGCCGCACGTTTTTGGAAGCTCCCAATTTAGCAAGAAAGCCACGATAAGCCTCTCTCCCATTGGGAATGGGAGGTGCTCTAGGCACCCCCCAGTCCTGGGAAGCTTTTACATATATGTACAGTGGGTAGACAGTGAAAAGTGGCTGCTTATATTGGATTCCAGAGCTCCAAAACACAGACTTGAAGTCATGGGACTTGGTCAGGTGGTGCATAATAGTTCCCAGAAAATGAATATGAAAAAATAAAAACAAAAAGTAAAGTTTCAAAATTTGTGAAAAATAAAAAACAAAACTCATTTTTTTCAAAACCTTTGATATTCATTTTGAGGGAGTGGGAGTGCTGAGAGAAAGAAAGAGGGGAAAATGGCAAGAATGATTATAAATGAAAAAAAATTGGAACCAAAAATGGTTTGGCCAGGTTGGTTGTCCAGATTGGAGCCAAAACAGTAAATTCTAGTGCTTGACTGCAATGTGGGCTGGTGAATGCCCCAATCAACAGCTCTTTGAAGCCATCTGGAAAGCAATTTTTGCAAAATTTTGATTCATAATCATTTTTCTAATATCCCAATCTTCCTTTCTCTCAGCACTCTCAATCCCCCAAAATGAATTTCAAAGCTGTTGAGAAAAATAAATTTTATTTTTTTTATTTTTTCACAAATTTTGAAACTTTGTTTTTTGGTTTTATTTTTTCATATTCATTCTTGGGGAACTATTGTGCACCACTTCACCATTTCTTGTGACTTCAAGTTTCTGCTTTGAAGCTCTGGAATCCAAAACAAGCAGCCAAAAATAACGGTCCACCCACTGTACATCTGTACATCCATGCAAAAAAAGAAAAGATCCCCCAGGGCACTGCCCACAAGCACAGACACAAGAGATCCAAGACAAAAGAGCTTCTCCATGAATCCAAGTCTCCGCAAAGCCGACCTGGATGCTGCCCTTTTTGTGTTTTTGGTGGGGGGGGGGGGGGTTCAATACCTCCTCTTCACACCCACAAAACTCCCACCCCCATTTTGTTTTTTTTGTTTTGGATTCTTCTAACAAAAGGAAAGGAAAGGACAGGAAGAGTAAGAAGACAACCAATCATAGCCAGCCAATAACAACCTACCCACACCCAACTTCTTGATAATCTTTCATAGAGTAATTCAATCATTCAATCATTGAGTTTTTGTTTTGTTGTTGTTGTAGTATTCTCCAAACAAACAAATTCATGAAAAAGAGCGCAAACAACATATACATAAACGAGAGGATATAAGAAGAAAGACCCCACCCCTCCTCCTTCTTTGTCTTTTTTTTTATTCATAGAATCTCTCATCACCCTGCACCCACCCTCTTCCGCCTGCCCGCCGGCCCGTCCAAAAAAAAAAACCAAACCAAACCAAAAAAAAGAAGGGGATAAATTATTTCTTAGCGATCCGTTCATAGGACCAAATCCTCGCATGCCAATCGCCTGATCCAGTAGCCAAGAGGCCGCCTGACTCAGAGACTGCGATCGAGATGACTGTGCACCCCGGGGCGAGATCAAGAAAAAAAAAAAAAAACCCCGCAACGACAATCAACAAGAGCCGAGAAAAAAAAAGAGAAAAAGAAAAAGAAGGACGAACCGGAGTTCTTGTGGCCCTGTAACATGAACTGAGGCATGGCCGTCTTGGGGTCCCAGAACTGAACCCCCCTGTCCTTGGAGCCCGACATGATCCATTCACCGTCGGGCGAGACTGCCACCGACAAGACGTAATCCTACAACCACAACAGTACAGATTCATATCAATGGTATTCCCGGGAGAGGAAAGCTTAAGTCGACAGAGATTTTCTTTGGAAAAAAAAAAAAAAAAAAAAAAAAAAAAGACGAACCTTATGGCCGATCAGAGTGGTAGTACAAGTAGTAGAGGGACGGGAGGAATCGAAGCCGCGATCGCTCGTGATCTTTTCGCCGTTCTCACCGCGTTCGATAGCGGGAGGATTAGGGAGGGAAGAAGAAGCCGAATTCGCGGGGTCCTCCTTCTTGACGAGTCCGTTAAACGGCGGATTGCCCTCGCGATTGAGGGTGGCCAGGTCCCAGAGCTTGAGCGTTTTATCGAGGCTTCCGGAGACGAGGAACTTGCCGTCGGGGGAGAAGGCGACCGAATAGACCGAATCCTTGTGCCCCTTCAGTTTATCCAACAGTTGCCCATTGGTGGTGTCCCAGAGTCGCACGACCGTGTCTAATGAGCCGGCCGCTAATAGACTCCCGTCCGGTGACACACACACCGACGTCACCCCCGCATCCACCGGACTCGAATCCGCTCCCCCACTCTCCTCGATCATCAGATGGAATAGACAGTTCCCCACATTCATGTCCCATATCCGCGCCGTCTTGTCCCCCGACCCCGACACTAACATCCGTCCATCGGGCGAAAATGCTAGCGAATAGATCTCCGACTTGTGTCCCTGGAATCGATTGACGATCCGCTTCTGAGCTACATCCCAAATCTATCGGAAGAATAATAGATCCCATCAGATTCAACAATCTTATCGATCGATCATCTTTCTCAAACACTTACCCTGATGATCCGATCTTCTGAGCCTGTTGCCAAGAACTTGCCATCCGGGCTGAACGACGCACTACGGATGTAGTTATCAGCGACTTGGGTACCATGGGTATCGTCCAAAAGTTGACTGCGACATAGAAAAAAAAAAAAAAAAAAAACCATGATGTTTTAGTTGACCAGACAGGGCTCTTAAATGAAAGAGTGTGGAGCAACACAGTGCTGACCAAATTTTCGAGCCAGTGCGCGTGTTATAGAGCGACGTGAACCGGTTGCAACCGGTAGCTAAGATAGTTCCATCGGGAGAGAACTTGACGCAACATACCACGCTAGAAGAAATGGATCAAGCCGGGAAGAAGAGTGAATTTTCTGAGTAAGTTTTTTTTTTTTTTTTTTTTTTTTTTTTTTCTTGACAGAGAGGAGGCAAGATTGTAAGAAAACAAAGATACCTATCATGAACAAGGGTATGAACCAATCCAACATCGAGCACTTTTTTGACCTTCGGATTGAACATCGTCATCCAATCGACGCCTTCTTTCTTCATATTACTCGGCAATGTATCCGGGTCGAGGTCGAGGAGGACGTTGGTATTAGGAGGTGCAGCGTTTTGGAGGGTTCCTGGTTGAGCCGAGCCAGCGATCACGGCTTGGCCGGCCCCGACGCTGGAGGACAACGGCCCTCCGGTCGCCAGACTCTGCGGAGCTCCATGATGGTGTCCTGGTGGTGGCTGAATATGGCCCTCTGGTC